GAGCGGAGAGCCCCGGCCGGGCTCCCCCCCCCCCCCCCCGCAAGGGGGGGGGGGGGGCGGGGCGGCCGCTGGCTTTTTTGCCTAGGGCGGCAAAAAAGTCAGAGCCGGCCCTGCCCTTCCATTCCAGGCTCCCTCTCAAACTGATAAATTTCTAACTTCTGTTTCATTAGCACTCTGTATGGAGGAATGCTGTTTATCTTTCCTTTTGACTGGATATTTTTCTAGTGGAGTGGATGTTAATGAGTTCATTTGTTTTCCTTTGGGTTGGGCATCTTTCCATCCCCTCCCCTAGCACCAAGCTGAAGTTCCTGAGCAGATTCTGATGGCACTAACCATCTCCTGTGTACTTCAGTGTTTCGGAATGAATTTGCAAGTAATTCCATGAAGAACACTCGGATTATTGATCTTAGTGGCCTGGATATTAGAGGAACGTAATTCAGGATCAAATAGCTCCATTTCTGCCCAGAGCCTAAAGCAATTTCATAATAATGCATAGTAGTCTGTAGTCAGTTTTGTCAACCGATGGCGATGGAGACGATTATTGTTGTTTGTAATATGTCGGAGCCTAGAGATCTATGCCCCGTTGTGTTAGGTACTGCACAAACATAAGAAGATGGTCACTGCCTGGAAGATCTTACATTCTGAGTAGTAGTAGGGGTTTCATTCATCTTCTAAGATGAAAGTCAGCTTTCAGGAAAGTAGATTTTAAAAAGAAACGGATAGTGTTCTGGCAGATAGAATATATGGTTGAAAAAAGATATATAATGGTGGCATTTGTTTTCAATCTGATTAAATGCCAGAGGTAACTGGATTTCTAATTTTTTTTTTTGGTCATTGAGTGTTCTTCTTGTGAAATCTTACAAAAGCTGCTTCTTTGAAGTTATACAGTGCTATACTTTAAACTTTTAAACAGGTCACCTACCCTCTATAAAGCTGGGAAATCATAATTTTTTGTAAAGTGTAAAAAGATGGCTTTTCATGCTTATAGAATATTTCAAAAAAGCGAATGTTGATTGAAAAAACGGAAATTTCATCTGCGTGATTTGTACTGTTTTAAGAATTTGTAGAGTTTTCAATTCTGCTTAAAGAAACCTTTAATCACTTTTTAAAATCATTCTTGTATATATCTCATCTACTTGTGCAAAAAAAATTTAAGTCATTTAGGCAACTATATCAGTGTGGTCCATTTTTAAGAAGCCCTTTTTAGCAGGTTAAAAAGACAGCTTGTGACCTATTATTGCTGAACTTATTTATTATTGATTTCAATCATCACCTTAGCAATTCCCAAAGAGTGCAAATGATGTCAAATGTTACTACAGTGTGAATTATTCAACTTGAAGAGTCAGATGCTGACTCCCCCACCCCATTTGGCAAGATTCGCCCTCTACTGTGACCTTCCGTCACTCAGAATGGTATTCAGTGCTGCTGCCGTGGAAATTTTGCTCTGCACTGCAGCAAAGTCACATTGGACTAGTCAAGCATGCAGTCCATTTATTTCTGTGTTTGCTGTGAATTAATAGAACTGAGGCAGAGATAGGCCCAACACAAAGCAGAAATAATGGATCGTTTTATGCTAACTGAAGAGTGTGGGATACAAACAGTAGCAGATAGGCAAAAAGTCAACACGTGGCCTAAGGCAGAATGATCTGTCAGCTGTAGAGGGGAGTAGTCTAGGGACAGTTGCAACCAGAAGCCTTACTATTTCAAATTAAGTAGCTTCCATGCAAAAGAATTTTTCCATCCTTACTCTAGATTTGCAGAAGTGTCTGCAGTGATTCTGTAAAATGATTCTTTGGCACGATCCCAAGTCACCTTCTGGCTACATCCTGATCCACAATGTGCGAGCAAATCACATTGCGAATCTCCATTGCTCTTCTAGAACAGGAGCAGTGTGCATGTAGGTGGGATCCAGCTGTCTATGCAGGCTTTGAAAGCCAGAACTGTCCTGTGCTCACTCGCTCTGGAAGTATTCCCCTTTTAGCCTCACAAATGTTGTGCAAGGTAAAGCACACCACGCTAATGTGAACTGCATTGGCTGCACTGGCATTCAGATGGGTCCGCAGGCATCACCAGCGAGCTTTTCAGACTCTCAAAAGTGCATTCCGCTACCATTTTGCAGCTACTCTGTACTTGTATTTGCTTTTTCTTAGGTCAGCAATGTTGGGGTACAGCTTTGAGCTATGTTGGAAGCGGGTATGTGGGGTCCCCCAAAATAACTGTGGGGACAGAAACACCGTACACAACCAAGTTTTTTCTGCAGAATGAAGTCCCTTTGCAGTACAGTCCTGACCTCCTGAGTGCCCTGGTGTCGTGAACCTTTCCTGTGTCCAACATAGGTGTTCATGAACCAACCTCTGTTGTCCACTGACCCTTGGATAATGAGTGAAGAGTAACCTTTTTGGTTCACGTATTCACTGTCTCCTTTTAATGGATGAAGTATTGGAATGTGAGTTCCTTTGATGGTGCCCGCACAGTTTGGAAAGCACATCCTCTGAAATCCTGCTGTAATTTCAGGGACTTTAATTATGGCAACCACCAATGGGTAGATTGCAGTTTTGATAGCATGACAAACCTGTACAACCGTCACCCTGACAGTTGACTTCTCAACCGTGAACTTGTTTGCAATTGACCGACAGCTACGAGGTGTTGTCAGCATCCAAAGGGTGATAGTCACCTGCTTCTGTACTGGTATGGATTTCTGAAACTGAGTGGTCTGCACTGAAGGGTTGGTGCAAGCAACTTGCACAACTCCATGAAGATCTTCCTCATTCGGAATTTCTGCAGCCACTGGTCGTCATCCCAGGTTTCCCAGCTGATGTGGTCCCACCACACTATGTTGTTTATCTGGGACTAGGAGCAGCAGTCCATGCATGGGTATACTGTTGCAATCCCAGCATTCAACACATCTGTTCCTTGGAAGCTTAGTAAATATTTGTTTGCCCTCTTGGTTAGTTGTCTTCAGCATTTCAAATTTTTCTGACCCATTCTATCCATTATCTGGTACTGGACTGCATGAACATTAGTCCCACAAGCAGTAGCAGGAGAAGAACCACATTGTGGACTTGCTCCTTGGCTTCAACGCAGTTTGGCAAAAGGGAGAGATGACCAAGAGCTGCTGATGCCAAATGTGTGAAGGCAGCAACTGTGTGTTGTCAGTACTGGCAACACGCAGCAAAGCGGTTCCCAGAGCATCTCCTGTGACACAAAGGACTCCAGGACACCGACCCTGAAATAGCACTACTGTCATGTACTGAAAAGGGGCAGTATGGATGCAGGTATATGCCTGTACGCAGCATATACCCTTGCGCAGGCAGAATATGTGGACGCTGTGTGGGTACAAGGTACATGTTCTAGCAGTATATGGACAAGTACTCAGGGAAGTGCGCAAGTATAGACGTAGCCTGAGATTTAGGCAGTCTTTTTTCTTTTTCCGTCCCATGCAAATATTTGAATTTGGGAAAGTATTAATTATGAAAAGGATGACTTTGCATTACAGTACTCATGCCATTACACATTTATGTATGCTGTATAAAGAACACCTGAATATTAAAAAATTATCCAATTTTGCCCATATGACACCTTTATTTGTAACAAAATTTTGAGTTCCCAGTAACTGGAGAAAATTAATCAACTATGAATGGCAGCTGGATTTTTAAGTAAAAATGTTTCTGATGTTTCTGAACCTTGTGATTTAATGTACTTACAGGTAGATGAAAGCCAGACTGGAGAACCTGGGTGGCTTGGAGGAGAACTGAAGGGAAAGACTGGATGGTTCCCTGCAAACTATGCAGAGAAAATACCTGACAACGACGTTCAAACCTCTGTGAAACCAGTAGTTGACACTACTGTTGCACCTAAAGTTTCTTTGCGTGAAACACCCCCAACTCCAGCAGCTCCAGCTCCAACAGAATCTACTGCAACCACCAACAACTGGGCCGACTTCAGTTCAACGTATGTTTTGCTGGTGGTTATCACAAACCAGTATTGTGGGTTTTCAAGCAGTTAACTTGTGTCCAGTTAAAATTCATTACATTTCTCATCCACTGAGATTGTGTCAGTAGTTAACCTGGCAAATGAGATATTTGCAGGAAACTAGACAGCACACTGTAAATCAGGAAGGATTATTCATCTTCAGTAAAACACAACTCCCATCATATTTTTTTCCCTTTAGTAAACATTTTTTCCTCAACAGGATAGTCCGCAAAAGGGTTGGTGGGTTGGTCTGTCGGTTTTTTTAATTTAAATTAGGCTTTCCAGTCCAAAGGCATGCTTTCGCCATATCCTCTTAAGCAATCAAGACGAAAAGTACAAAAGCTTGCCCATCTGGCCCTTTTCCCTGACCATATTCAGAATTATTTTACAGCAGAAATCCCAGCATGTCATCCTCCATTTGTTTATATACCAAATATGTGAGAGAGCAGAGTTGACACCTTCTCTTACTTCATCGTTACCAGCTTGTATTTTACATTAAGATGCAGCTGCTGCTGCTAAAGTCAACCAATTTATTGTTATACAGTAGTACTCCCCTGGTGTGCCTGATGCTATATACATGTAAGACAAGTTTCATGTCCCAAAGATTATATATATGTATGTTTTATCAGGACAGGTTAGTCTACTGTGTAAATAATTGGTTAATCATTTTGTTTAATGCGATAAGGCGTTTTACAATTAGAAGTATGTATTTTACTGAAATATTTGAGTACTTAACACACAGTGCTTTAAAAAGTTTTTACCCAAGAGAGCACAATAGTTCTGAAAGAATCATTTAAACTTATGTTGCTCTCTGGACAACTTTTTTTCTGAAAAGCAATAATATAAGAATTAAAACTGAGCTTCCCACTTATTTTTATTTTTTCCCTACCTAAACAAAAGTAGCTCAAGACAAAACTATTCTAGTTTTAAGTGAATACTATGCATTTTTATAACCTTGCATAAAAATCACTGTCTGATTTTGGTAGAAAATAAAAAAATACAATTAGTTTCTACTCCAGAGCTTATCGTGTATGATGTTTGTACAGTGCTTAGCACAGTGGGGCCCAATCTCGTTGTGGCCCTCAGGCACTATTACAGTGTAAATGCTTAATAATAATTAATATTTAATTAAGGATACAGGAACCAGGAATAGAAATTCATATTTAAGGTGAACACTCTCTCTTTATACTGTTAGGGTTTGTTTCTTTTATTTAACCTAATGGGCTTGTTAAGGCACAGGTGACTATGTGAAGACATATAACCGAAATCAGTTAGTCTCCACATTTTAGTGGCAGTTTTCCATTTTGCAAGCCACGGATAGTGATGGGACTGAATGAACACCTCAATCTGCTGGCTGATTATTTTATTTAAAATGGGCCCAGACGTTGGTGTGGGTGATTGTACAAAACTGAAAAAAATCCATACTAATTGGAACTGGTTTCCAATCTAAAGTCCTCCCAAGCCTACTGAAAGTAGGACTCTCCCACCACTTTTCCCATTCACTTAGTTGTCCCTCCCATAAGCAGCCTGGGAAAATAAGTGTGCTTGGCAGCATTATCTGACAGCAAGGGGAAAGGGGAAAAGGGTAATATTTCGGGGGCCCTGGAGACAGTAAACAAAATGGCTGGCGTTAATTGGACAGTCCAACTAAATTATACATACCTAAGGTCCCTTCCTATAGATCCAACTGGGTCTCAAAGAGCTCCTGGCTCTGAATGATCACAGCACCATCTGCCTCCCAGTCTTCAATGATATCTTCTTCATCTGCCAGTTCAAGGGAACCCTCCACTGCAGGTTGTGAGCTGTCCACTTTTATAGGCAGGAAGGCGGGTGGTTCCTGGCTCAGTCTGACAACAAGCTGTTTGTTACACAGGCCTGTCTAAGGGGCAACACCAGACTTCAGGCTGTGCTCCTTTGTCTTCTGGTAAGCCTGACGCAGCTCCTTCCCCATTTCCTGGCATTGGCCCTCATCCCTGCTATACCCCTGGGCCTCAGTGCCCTCAATGTACACTTCCCTTGTATACCTCTTTATTCCTGTTGAAATTATGTAGCTGTGCCCGCACATGTTCTTCTCTACCTCACCTTCGCATCAAGGAAATCAAGGACCTTTTCCCTAGACTATACAGTGGCATGAGGATGAAGTAGACTTGTGCTTGTCCAACTTTGGCAAATACACTTGTACTAGCAGGAAAAGAGGCATTTCCAAAATATATCAGTGACTTTAAAGTGGGGGGGGGGGGGGGGGGGGGGGGGGACTTGGTATCACCATGATGTCTCAGGAGCATTGTTCAAAAATTAGACAGAATGGGCACTGCTGAGGGGACAGGTGCTAGAAGACTACTTGTACTGGTACAGGTACTTCTGCAGCCACACAAGCATCATGCCAGTAAAACTATACTAGTAGAGGGCTTGTCACTTGAGGAACTGATTTAACTTGGCTGGTAAAAGTTGAGGGATTTTTTTGTCAGGACTCAAAACTAAACGTGGATGCATGCAATACTGTGCTGACAGAAGGCAAGTTTTGCTGTTAAAACTTTGTAGTGTAGACCAGGCCAGGAAATGAACAACGTTGAGCTTTGCCAGACCCACAGGGGTGAAATGCCCTGTCTTTGTCTCACTCTTCCCTTTCTCCACCCCACCTGTTTACTGTGTAGAACTGTTAACTCATACATGTCAGCTGATGTTAACTCCAATATTATGATGAGAGAGGTAGCTGGGACTCAACTATTTAGGGCTTTTTAGACTTTAGGGTTCTACACTAGCTAGTGAAAACGTAGACAATTGTCTGTTACTTTGTAATTGCAAAAGCAAAAAAATTCAATTAAGTTAATATATTTAGTTTATATACCTTTTGTCTACTTAAAACTACAGCTGTGCACTGAGCTTTAAAAATGCATAGTTTCAACAGTTAGCACCCAGAGCTTGCACGCTGGGGGAAAAAGAAATTGGACTAATGAAGTCTAAACAATAAGGAATAAGGCAGGAGGTTGAGAACAGATAATCATGGTTAAATGGTAACGAAAAGGTGGTCGAAAGTGGGTTCTAATAATCAATTTACAGGATGAGAGGTGATGTTCAAAGGATAAGTGATCGCATGAAAAAAATCACTCAGATTATATAGTCTGTCTTATTTTCAGGTGGCCGACCAGCACTAGTGAGAAACCAGAGACTGATAATTGGGATGCTTGGGCAGCTCAACCGTCTCTGACTGTTCCAAGTGCAGGGCAAGTGAGGCAGAGATCAGCCTTCACCCCAGCCACTGTTACCGGATCATCGCCTTCTCCTGTCCTGGGGCAGGTAAGTGGCTATATCTGTACAGAAATCATACTTAACCCAGTGTTTTAACTTTTGCAAAGTGATGACCAAACATTAATTGACCAGCCCTTGCAATATTCCTCTAAGGGAGGTAAAGTATTTCAAGATGAGGAGATGAAGATGTCAAACAAAGCCATGCGGGAAGTGCAATTTGGCATTCTCGGAGTTCTCAAGTAGAGCTGGGTGAAATATTTTTGACACAAAATTTGTCAAAAAAATTCATTTTGGTCAACCCCAAATTATTTGTGAATTTGACACACATTCACCAAATAGTTTTAGGCAGGAAAAAAATGTTCAGGTTAGATTCCCAAAATGTGGTGAAGAAGAGTAGGAGATGGTGGGGATGGTGTCCTCCATTATAACTCTTATCCCAGTGATTAGTGCACTCAATTGGTTTGTGGGGGTTAGAACCTGAGTTTCCTGCTCTGGAGCAATGATTTGAACCCAGGTCTCCCCCTCCCAGCTTTGTGCCCTAACCATTTGGGCTGCATCACTCTCATTTTTTCCTACTGAAGCTGTTCCATTTTTTATAAAATGCTTGAATAAATTGGGCCAGAGAGAAAGAGAGAACAGCTCTATAGTCTGGTGGTGAGGACAGTCACCTGGGAGGAGTGATCTAGGCTCAAATCTCTGCTGCAGATCGGGGATTCAAACCTGGGTCTCCCACATCTCAGGTGAGGGATTTAGATCAGCGGTTAGAAGTTTTATCAGGAGATCAGCATCAACACCCTTTCCTCCTCCAATCATTTTATGACTCTAGCTCTTAAAAAATGCCTGGAAACAAAATGTTTTGGGTCAAACTAGCTTTGATTTGCATAATTTTTGTCTACATTTTTTAATTTATTTCAACCCAATTTGCAAACTTTTTTTTTTTTTCCAGAACTGCTAGAGAACCGAAAAATCAGTTATTCGCCCAGCTCTATTCCTGAATCCCAATCCTGTGCTCAATCTGTTAGATCACAGTGCCTCAACACTGGCTGAAAAATATGTAGTGCTGGTACATAGATATAGCATTCTGAGATGTGCTAGATATGTAAACCCCGAAAAAGCAAGTAGAATGCAAGATGGCATAATGAATAAGTTAGAGCAAAAAGATTCTCTTTATTCTCACTTTTTGTGAGATTTACTATAAGCCCTGGGGGCAAGGCTTGTCTCTTTATTTATAGTGCTTTACATAAATGTGGTAGATGAGACAATTAATTTTTAAAATCTTTTTCTGTGTAGAAAAATTATTAAATATCTTACAGGAGTGTATGCACCAGGCACTTTAATACAAATATAGAAATACTGGTGGACTGCGTTAATATATCCACTAGATTGTATTTTTTTTTAATGATCTGTTTGGCTTTGAGTAAAAAGCTTATTTTAATAGAAACAGTCGACACACAGAGCTGTGTCTATAAATGAATGTTGTATTTATTTATTTATTTATTTTTAGCAGCCTTCTTTGCGAAAGACTCTTTAAATGATTCACGTTTATTTTCTTACCACAATAGGGTGAAAAAGTAGAGGGCCTTCAAGCACAGGCCTTGTATCCTTGGAGAGCCAAAAAAGACAACCACCTCAATTTTAACAAAAATGATATCATCACAGTTCTGGAACAGCAAGACATGTGGTGGTTTGGAGAGGTCCAAGGTCAAAAGGGATGGTTTCCCAAATCATATGTGAAACTCATTTCAGGCCCCATAAGAAAGTCGACAAGGTATTTTGTTTGGTTGCTTTTGTTAGAATGAACAGCATTTTTATTTAATCATTAAATATTATGTTGTTCCTATTTAAAATGTTGTGTGTACTTGTATGTTTGTTTTTAAAGTGTTGGCTCTGAAAAGTGACTTTATTAATATGGCATTGTGTGGCCAGATTTGTATCTCTGGTTTCAGATCGGTGTGGCTCCGTTTATAAATAAAATGATGAGCTTTGTTTTTTGGCTTCCTCTTCTTCTTTTTTTTTTAAACTTCCAGTCCTACCTACAAACTCAGCTTGGGATATGAAAGCAAAGATGGATTCTTCCTGTATCATGTATCGCCAACAACAATTCTGCATTTAGAATTTAGCTAACAATTCTATTGATGCACAAGTGAGAACAGAATCCAGGTTATTCTCCTGTAGCTGTTTTGGCTACACAATGCCAACAAGACTAAAAAGTAGCAAAATCTTACTTAAGTTGATAAAATAAGTAAGAATTGAAATATGCGTGGGGTAGGGCTAGTGAGTAAAGAGGTGCCACTTTCCTATATTCACTTAACTAACAAACAGTGTTTTGAAAGATAGTAAGACTGTAATCTAATACAATACATCATGTGAAAACGATGTTCTAGTTGATAATGAAAACTAGAATGAACTTTACATTTTTCTATTGGGGAGCAGAGGAGAGCACAGCAATTTTTGCTTTCAGTCCAGTTACATGATTTCAAACTGTATTTTGTCATGCTGAGGTTTAAAACTTAAATTTTACTATCTTTTTGCTTTACACGTTGAGAGAGTTTGTTCATGGATATAGCTTTTAATGTATTTTTTATTCAAAACATTTAGTTGTTTTATTAAATTTAGAGAAATTAAAGCATTTAATATTTTCTCTTTAAGCATGGATTCTGGTTCTTCAGAAAGTCCTGCTAGTCTAAAGAGAGTAACATCACCAGCAACTAAACCATCTATGTCAGGCGAAGGTAAGAATTTGGATTGAATGATATTAGTAACATCTTACTGTATAGTTTTAATAAAAGAAATTATCTAGTAATAGGTACAAGTTCGGAGCCAGATCCAGTGGGAGTTGGTGGTACTCAGTTCCATTGCAGAATCAGGCCCTGTTACTTTACAAAGTAAGAATTTGAATTACCTCCAGAATTAATTATGACTACAAGGCTATGTCCTGCATGTTTTGTAAAACTGCTCATTTACATAAGAATAGTATTTTTCTAATTAACTTAGGTACATTAATTTATGCAGTGTCATTTATAAGCAGTTGAGAATCAATCCCATATTTCTGATTGTTTGTTTTTAGCCTTCTGCCTACAATAGGAAGGGCCCAGGCCCAGCATTTGAAATGCATAAAGGATATATTTTCTTTTAACATACACTGTGTGTGTATGCAGTATATGCCATGTAAAAACATGTGTACATGCTTCAAGATAAGCAAGAATATTCATTAAATTAATAAGTTGTCTCCCAAAATTTTAGTTTTTCATTCACAATGTTTCTTTGTGAATAATTTGAATCCTGCAGTGCCTGTTTTCCTATTTAAATGTTGGATAGACCAAAACTTTCGACCTCTTAGAAAGGGAAGACAAATCAGTGCTGATCCCATCATGAGGAAAGGGATAATTATCCAAACAGGCATGTATGTACTGTAAATTTTTAATAGTTTTCATTTGTGCTGTCTTATTTGACCCAAGAAGGTTAGATTTAAATTATAAATTAATAGCAAATAATATAAATAAATAATATACATTAATAGCAAATAACAAGGACTGCACTCAGTGCCTTGAGTTAGATATCAGTATTTTTTGTTTTTCCCATGTTATTTTGAACATTAAGCACCTTCCATTAATGAACTATTATTAATCGAAAACCATATGAGTACTTATAGTTGTCTACAAGTCTGTACCTATTTTTTTCATAAAAAGATGCTAAATGTGCCAGACCTTTGCCATCATTGGAACCCACACCACTGCTAGCACAGGTATGGCTGCAGTGATACCAGGAAACAGATACAAAACTTTTCTTCTGAGATATTGTTGATAAAACTGCTGTCAATATAACAAACTTTTCATAAGACATGTTAGCTTGGTAGAAGTTGGATTCAGTTGTTAAACATGTAGGCTCCCTATTTTTTTAGTATTAAAAGTAATATTGACAGTAGGGATTTTTTTGGGGTGGGGTGGGGTTGCATTTAAGTGAAAGTGGGTCCAGCAATAGTTGGGCCAGTTCAATTCAGTCATTTATATCACTTAATTATTGACCTATAGCATATCTGATTCAAGGTTGAAGGGGGTTACTGGAGTTAATCTGATTCAGAATTGGTTACTTAGTTGTCAAAAAAGCACATAAAGCAAGGGATAGGACCTGTATGCATGTGCACATGTGTGAAAATAAATATATTTTACAAAATAGTAATATCTCTATCAGTCTTTTTAGCAGTGCTTTAATTCTTTATTTTTTAAAACCTCATCTGTACAACTGCAATTTAATAGGAATCATTTTGGGCAATTTTTATCACACACAATATAGTCTATAGTTTGCCACTGATAATAAAAATTCCACTGTGTAAAGTGGAATTATAGAAGGATTCTAAAATTTGGCTTGCTTGATTTTCAAAGGCTGTTTAAAAGCAAATACAGAACTGCTAAACCATCTCCCCCCAGTCGTGGCTCTGTAGCTACAACCTGGGATACTGTATGTCTTCTGTCATACGTTCTGTATTTTTCAGTTTGATTAGCTGGATATTTTACACACTGTGCTAAAAGCATATACTTTCAAAAATATTTTTGAAAAACGTTTTGTATGGATTCGGCAGCTTTATAATTTCTTTAGGAAAGGAAACTCCTATATAAGTATTCTTCAGAAACAGACTTTCATGAAAGCTAGTTAGTATTTTAGTTCTGAGGATAGTATTTCAGTCTACACTTACTCACCAACAATTAAACGTGCCATGCTTGCCACTGTTTTCCACAAGCAAAGTGTGTAACACAGAATATTTTCAGAAATCTTTGGTGAATTGTGTAATAGGCATACTACTTCAGAAAATGTTACTGATTTGTCTGAGATTCTTATTTGCACTCCTAGCTGTACAGGTTTTCATTTAGTTCTGTAATTAAATTACACGTTGCATTTCTCAACAGCAGTCTGTTTCAGTGTTTTTTTGCTCTTGAATACCAAATAGCTGACCATGTTTTAACAAAATTGTGTATTCCACCATTATCTTAGCATTTTCAAGCCAACTGTTGCATAGGATACAATGAGATTGGCTGTCTCCATACAAAGCTTCAAGTAATGAAAGAATTCATTGTTCATGAGAGCCAACTGACATATGTAAAAGGAACACTGTATCAGAAGTTCAGAAACTAGGATTTTGTATGCCAGGACTGAAATGCTAGTTCTCAGCATAAAATTGAAACCGTAGAAAGTATGCTTATAAAGCCAATCATCATCAAGTGCTTGCACGTGTCCATTCCACTTTAGGACTGTGTGCGCTAGGGCATTGAAGCTGGAGAATTCTTCCCCATAACAGTATCCATCGGGACAGCACATGTTAGCCAACGGTATAAAAGGATGGAGCTGCTCTGCCCCCTCATCAATTCCTTTTTACTGCTCATGGTCAGTAGTTGTACATGTGTGAACTTTACTCTCTCCCATTCTGTTTTTAGAAAAAATTGCTAGAGGTTTTTTATTGTAAATAGTTTAGTATGGTTGTAGTTATAGTTTTAATTAGTAGCACTTTCTTTGAGCTTTTAGCATGGTACTGGGGCATGCATAAGTCCCTGGGATTTAAGTGCCATTCTGGCTGTAGCAAGTCTATATCAGTCAGCAATCCTCACTCCCTGTTTAAAGTGTTTTGGAGAAGTATGCGTGAGGCATAAATGCCTTATCTGTGCGGGTCTTTCAGACCAGGACTAAGAAGTTGAGAGATGTTTGACTTTGAGATAGGGAAATAGTTTTTCTTCCCTCTTTGGACCCCAGCTGCTCTGTACATGGGGATTCAGACTTGACTCTATCTCAGACCACATCACCAGATTTGGCAGCATCCATGCAGCAGAAAGAGCTAGAGACACCAATCTCCATTTTCAGTACTGGGCAAGCTGCAGAAGTAGTCCACCATTTCAACCTCTTCTGGCCAAAAGAAGCCCTCTTCATCTTGAGGGCGGGGTCCCCAACAGACTTGCACAAGAAGACCGGTACCGAGGTTAGAGCTAAGGCAGCTCCCACTAGGCACTCCTAGTACAGCGTTCTAGCAATGTAGAGTAATCGACTCTGGCCCTTCATGCAAGACCATAGAGGCTGACTCCATTGCCGGGACCTTCAGTGGCGCCACCTTCCTCTGTGCTGCATCCTACTGTACCAGTACCATGACATCTGAAGTGTTTGCAGTGGCCAGGGATCTCCTGTGCTTATTGGTGTCAGACTCACCACTGATGCAGGATGAGACTCAGTTACCGATTAATCCTACCCCCCTGGGATACTTCTTGGCATCTACACATTTGGTGCTGTTGGGGACTGAACCAGACCCTCTCGGTATGAACAAAGGAAGTTCTGTTGTGCAGTAGAGCAGACATACAGTCCCTTCAGCAGGAAGCCTCAGATTCTTCCTCCAGTACCATCCACCTCCCATCAGGTCTTGGTCTCCTGCTACTCTACTTGTTACTATGCTGTCTTGGCATTCGGACTGTGCTAACTCGTCCTTCGAGTCAGAGGTGGTATATTATGCATTACGATCTCATTTCAGAAGGGCTCAAGCATCTTCCATTTGTCCTCATGCCGTTCAAGGCCCCAGCATCGTGACTTCTTATAGGAGCAGGTCCCGAGATCGGATGCCCTTGGGGCTGGACCCTGGTATTGTATCAAGTACAGCAGTGGCCTTTCTGGAATCCATGGGGTACTCCTGGATTCACGTTTGTTTTCGCTTGTGTATCACTCTACTTAATCTCCATCAAGGTGCCATTTTGTTTGTACTGATTCCATTACCCAGAATTGAGGGATCTTATTCCTCCAGTATCTGACCCTCCTGTTACAGATAGTCAGCACACAACAGAGCAGACTGACATTGTAGTGCCTCTGCACAATGCTTCCTCATCACCACCAGATGGGGTCACTGTCTCAGAATTGTCCTCCCAAATCCCAGGTGATTATAAAATGTACCAGGAAATTAGGGAAAGGGTGGCTGCCTCCCTAGGTATTCAGATTAAACTGTTCCAGGATAATCCACACAAATTAGTGGATATTTTGAATTCGGCAACGCCATCTGGCTCTGCCTATTAATGAAGCCATCTTAGAACCCACCAGAATTCTTTGACCAGAATTCCTCTTCCTTGACACCCACTGCCAAGAAAATGGAGAAGAGGTACCAAATTCTTCGAGTGATTGCTCCTGTCTATTCCACAGTAGGTGTGCGTGCTCGCCACGTGCCGGAAGTTTTTCCCTTAGCAGTACCCGTACTGGGGAAGCACCGCGGCGACCCCTTGAGTGGCGCCTGCATATCGCGCTATAAGGGGAGCCACGGGCTCCCCCCACCCTCGGTTCCTTCTTGCTGGACAACTCCGACAGAGGGGAAGGAGGGCGGGGTGTGGAATAGACAGGAGCAACACATCTCGAAGAATGCCAGTTATGGAACAGGTAACTGTCCTTTCTTCTTCGAGTGATTGCTCATGTGTATTCCACAGTAGGTGATTCCAAGCAATATCCGCTGGAGGTGGGTAGGAGTTCACGATGGTTCGGGACGAAGTACTGCCCTGCCGAACCCGGCGTCATCCCTAGACTGGGAGACGATCGCGTAATGCGAAGTAAATGTGTGAACTGAGGCCCACGTGGCTGCCCTACAAATGTCCTGGATGGGGATATGGGTGGCGTAGGCAGCTGATGAGGCCTGAGCCCTCGTAGAGTGTGCCCTGATGATCGGTGGCAGGGGAATCCCTGCCAACTCATAGCACGTGCGTATGCATGAGATGATCCAGCGGGAAAGCCGCTGGGTAGAGATAGGTTGCCCCTTTGCCCGCTCGGCCGAGGCAACAAATAGTTGAGAGGATCTCCGGAACGGCTTAGTCCGATCCAGGTAAAAAGCCAGCGCCCTACACACATTGAGTGTGTGGAGACAAGTTGCCAGATGATGCTAAAGAGGAGTTCGGAGCTCTTGTACATGAAGGCTGCCTGTTAGCAAGGTTGTCTTTACAAGCTGTATTGGATGAGGCGGATTCAGAAGCTCTGATAACGGCAACAGCAGTTACTATGTGTTGTGCATCTTGGCTGCAATCGTCTGGTATTCCAACCAAAGTCCATCGAACAATGGAAGACTTGCCCTTCATTCTTTCAGAAGACTGACTACAGTCTGGATTCTCTTTAAGAGTCTAGGACAACCTTAAAGTCTTTAGGCTTTCATACACAAGTCCTAAGAGAAAGCACTTCTGCTCTCAGGTCCAGCAAAGGTACCTGTTCTACCCGATAAGGCAGCCAGACCAGTCCAGGGAATGGCATAAGTCTCAGAGGAAGAGACCACCTCCTTGTCCACCGCCTTCTGCTACCTCTAAATAATCTGTAATATCTAAGCAATCTATTTGATTCTGTCGTCGAGGTTAGCAAGCCACTCTAACTTCTCCTGCTTTTGGCAGCAAGTTGTCCCACTTCCTAAGCACTTGGACCCACATAATAACCTATTGATTGGGTTCTAAACGTGATGGAACTGAGATGTACCCTGCAATTCACCTCTATTCCCCCTTCCCACACACCTCACCGCCCTTTTCAAGGACCATTCTCACAAGACTGTACTGATTCATGACGGTCAGTCTCTATTACAGTTATGGGCAGCAGAGTCAGCATTGGGGGAAGGGAGTCTGTTCCCGCTATTTTCTCATTGCAGAGTCCAAGGGATGCCTCAGACCTCTTTTAGATCTGCAAAAACTCAACAGATAGTTTTATATGATTACTCCTACATCTGTTATCCCGACCCCAGACCCCAATGACTGGTTTGCTGCCCATGACTTAAGGCTTGTCTCCTTGTACCGTGGCTCGACGCTGCGGCGATTGATCTACTGGGGGTCAATTTAGCGGGTCTAGTGAAGACCTGCTAAATCGACCGCTGATCGCTCTGCCGTTGACTCCGGTACTCCACCGGAACGAGAAGCGTAAGGTAAGTCGATGTGAGAATTTCTCCCATCGACCCAGCGCGGTGTCAACACACTGCCGTGAGTCGATCTAAGGTATTTGTCTCCTTTGCTGACAGGATGAGGGGCAACTTGTCACTTTTCAGAGGATTTCTTCCTGGACTTCCTCTATTCATCTGTGCTATGATATTGCTGAAGTTCCACCATCTCAGAGTTTTAGCATACTCTATGAGAACACAAGCAGCATTGGCTGCTTTCTTGGGTCACGTTCCCATCAGTAAAATTTGCAGGACTGCAACTTGGTCATCTCTACATTTGTTCATCACACATTATGCTCCCTTCCAAACCTTGAGGCTAGATTTGGGAGCATGGTGTTGCAGTCCTTGTTTAAGTAGACTCCGATCTCCTATTCCATCTAGAACTGCATGTGGGTCACCTAAAGTGGAATGGACACGTGCAAGCAATCGAAGAAGAAAAAAGGGTTGCATTACCTGTTCAGTAGCTGTTCAAGATGTGTTGCACATGTCCATTCCACAACCCACCCTCCTTCCCTTCTATATCTGAGTCACAGCAAGTACTGGCTTCCGGAGTGAAGTAATTGAGAGAGATTGGGTGGCTCCACCCCAGTATACTTTTGGCTAGCAGCATGAATGTTCAGAGAGTGCGTGCTCTGCCCTGTTTGGGACCACTATGGGAAACAATTCCCCAGCTTTGGTGCACTGGCAAACATACATACACACACCTAAAGTGCAATGGACATGTGAAGCACATCTCGAAGAACAAGTTATCAAACAGGGATGAAACAGTTTGGGTGGTGGTATTTTGGTTTTGGTTTTTTTGTTAATAAAAAAAATAGATATATACTTAGGTCATGTTAGAGGTTTACCAAAAATAATAACTTCATCCATAATAGGAGTGTTTTTTGTTTTTTTTAGAATAGAAGCCTTTAAAGAACTTTAAGTAGTCTTGAAGATCATCTAATTTAGAAAGTTAAATATTAAACCTCATTTGTGAAGGAAGGGAAAATGTTTTGGAGTGAAGTGTTGCCTACACAGAAGCAATAGGGCAGAAAGCTATGAATATCTAACCTTTGGACAGGTCATATGGCATTACTTTCATAAAGATAGATTTTTGCAAATTATACTTTGATTCATCAAGCATTTCCCATTTTTTGAACAACTTCTCCTCCAGAATATATTGCCATGTACACATATGAGAGTTCGGAACAAGGAGACTTAATCTTTCAACAAGGAGATATGATTCTTGTGACAAAAAAAGATGGTGACTGGTGGACAGGAACATTGGGTGACAAATCTGGAGTCTTTCCTTCTAATTATGTGAGACTGAAAGATTCTGAGGTAAAGAGATATGAAACATTACAAAGTCTATCCTTTTTTGTATCTTATTTGTCCACTTTATAATGTTCATTTGATGATTTCAAGTCAGTGAATCATATGGAGGGTTTTTTATCTTACAACTTTATTGGACATGAAAAAGCATTGTTACAGCGAAGTTTGAAAGAGATATTCCTGTATAAACTACCATGGAGTACCCCAGTGGTTCTCAACAGGAGGTCCGCGCCCTCCTACGGGTCCCCAAACCCTTTCAGGGGGGCCATGGGGCCCTGTGGCTAAAACCCAGAGCCTGAGCCCCAGCACCCCCCGTGGGGCTGAAGCTGGGAACAGCAGGGCTGAATTCCGAAGCCCCGGTACTCCCCATGGGGCAGAAGCCCTGAGCCCCTGGGCAGAGTTGGGGAGACACGGGTGTTACACCCCCCACCTCAAAACTACAGGGGAAGGTCCAACCCCCTCCACCTCCTTGTCTCCCCACTCCCTGGCCAGGTCAGAGGCGGGAAGCCTTGTCTCCTGCTGCTGCAGGGGGTTGAAGCTGCTCCTCAGGTCCCAGCCCCCTTTGCTCACGCAACCGGTAAGAGCCATCTGGGCAGGCAGTCCCGGCTCCATGGCTGGCAGAGCCCTCGGAGAACAGGGACCGCAGGGGAGCCTTCCTGGCACACAGCCGCTAGCTACCCCCGTGCCTGCAACCTGAGCTGTTTTCAGACTTTCTGAGCTGAGCCCCCCACCTTTTGAATTATAATTTTTGGTTGCGTCCCCCACCCAGACAGGCTGGATGGCCTGCTGAGGTGAGTCAGGGGGTGGAGGTGGCGTTTCCTTCCCGACCCCGCCGTGCGGAGCTGTCCAGAGTCCCGCTGGCCCCTGCCTACCCAAAATAGAAGTCAAACTACACCTATTCCCGAGCCCCTGACTCCCGGCTGAGAGCCCCCAGTCCCCCCTCCCCGTTGGGCCCTGGAGTTTTTCTAGCATGTTGTGGGGGGGCCTCAGAAAGAAAAAGGTTAAGAACACCTGGAGTACCCTGTCACTTACTGTTATTAAAGGCCTTTATGATAGTCATGTACAGCCAAATCAGAGGAATTATTGCTGTTTTCCAGTTAACAGTATTATGACCAAAGAGAATGTGCAGTAAGATACGACTTGAAACAATATAAAAGGGGATATATCCTAACATGAAATATTAAGCTTTTCCTTCCAAAACAAGGTATTGTAATAATGAACCCAAGGGAACAAGCCCAGGAGAAAAATAAGCTTACCTAATAGCCATATTCTGGTGAAGTTAGATTCATATCAATTAAATTCCAGAAGTTCTGAAGTTGGATGCACTCCCACCACATGTGTAGGCCCTGAAAGGGGGAATGCTTTTGTCAGTCGTGTGTGTCCGGAGAGGATGGGGGTAGTGATTCACTTTTCATTTCTGGAGATGGTATATTGTATTAAACTTAAGAGATGTTTTCTCACGCACATTCTCATCTATTTGAGAATACAGTTGTCATCTATCAGTGGATGTTAGCTGAGTCATTATGTCGTTGTCTATATACACTTAAGTTCCTTCTTGCAACAAGATGAGAAATATAATGTATTCTACTGATTTATTGCACTTCTCTTCAAAATAAAAATATTATGGTCAAGACTTTAAAAAATGGGGGTCTAAATTTAGCCTTCTAAACTCTTATTTGGATTGGATTTAGGTGCCTAAATAAGGATTTAGGAGCCTAACTTTAGGTGCACATTTTTTTAAATCTTGGCATCTGTGTTAATGAGCTATAACTGTCTGTGGACTATATATGTGAAATATTAGCGCTTGTGTAGTCATCGCTTAACCTTTTTCACTTTTGGGAAAGATTGAAGAGTGATACTTTTTATCAGTAGTACAGTATGTAGATACTTAAAGGGCGCTCATCTTTTCAATTAAAATAGAAAATACAGTAATCTCTTCTGTGATAGAGCTCCAAAACACTCTGGTTATGGTAGTGCAATGTTTTGGGCCACTTTTGCAGTACTGTAATAGCTCTTTCAGAAAGCATCTTCCTCTAAGACTTGCCTCAATGCAGGAAATTCTTCATTAAGAATCAATTTAGAAGATGTAGATCAGAAAACTTGTATTTTTGTAAATATATTGTTTATATCCCTGTTATGCTTTGGGAGAGCTAATTTAGTAGATTAAAGGATAAATCTAATCTCAACTGTTCATTATTTATGCAGTGCACTTTAAGAACAAATAAAACATGGTCCTGTTCTTGGATCTTACAACCTAATGTTGGATATAACACAAGTGATAGCAGCACGGGGGGGAGAGCAGAAGAGGGGTGAAGGTTTCAATAATATTACAACGTTATTTTATTAAATTTTTCCAGCATTCAGAGGTACTGTTTTTCTGGGCAGACTTTCAATAACTCTGATGTGCAATAGGATTTTTGGATTTTCAGAGTTGGCTCTCCATCTAGTTTAGCAGGAGCAATTTCACCCGCTGTGAACTCTGACTCAGATTATATTATTATCGTCCCTTTAGATTGATGGGGTTCATGAACGGTCACACAGCTGGAAACCTTCCCAGATTCTCCAAACTAAAAACACTCTTTCCTGCCTAAACTAGTGAAGATGTGTTTGTTTTTAATTATTCATTACTCACTATTACAGATAATATTTGGGGTGACAATCCATCTGAGAATTGCTACAAGGATAGATCCCTCTAGGATAGTCACTAACTATTCAGAGCCTTCTTTTGGAAAATGCTGTAGCAAAGCCATTTTGGTAGTCAGGAGAAATAAACATATGAATGTGTGTAAGTTTTATATTTGCCTTTTTATTTTAAGGTCCCTGGAACTGCTGGAAAAACAGGAAGTTTAGGGAAGAAACCTGGTGAGTTACACAGTGTGGCAACATTTTATTTCTCCGTGTGCTAAAGGATATATTTGCTTCTAACAAAGAGTAAGAAACTTAAATAGGAATGAAGTCTCCTTTGTAACAATTTAATAAGTTGCTCATTCTTATTCTTCCCTCTTTCCCTATGTATAGCCCAGTATGTTGCTACCCTTCTTTAAACATTTACATCTGCTTTAGGGTTTTGTACAGCGTCCATCACGGCAGTATCCAAGCACCATGTGGTTACAAAACTTCCCAAAAAACTGTTGCCTGAAAGTGAATTTAAATTCACACAACTTGGGGATAGTGCATATAACAGGGCAGTTGATCCATGAGGATTGTGCAGTTTTATGTACGTGTCTGATAAACATGGTGGTGAAGTACACATCCCACTTCAGGTTGTGGCATTCTGCCTGGAATCCTGCATAATTTACTTCCCACAAAACTGAGGGTTGGCCCTGTATATTGCTCAGCATGGAGGTTTCAGTGTTCCTAAATGCCCAGCCAACAGGAATGTTTTCACTACTTTCTCTAAATAAAGGAGCAGCAAGAAGATTGGGCATTCTTGGCAGAAACTGGTAGTAGGTGGGGGCACAGGGACAGCTATTTTCTGAATTTTCAGAAGCAATACAAAACTGATTACAGATGTGTCAATGTTTATACAGAGAAGGATTTTATGTCTTCATGCTGTATACGCACTATGCTAAAAGGGGCCTAACTTTCCTGAGCTGGCTTGTGATTCTGTTGGAATTCTTCCCATCAGAGTTCAACACTCAGAAATAATAAAGAATATATTCAGAATGCAATAGAGCTATTTGTTTATTTTCTGAAAGATTTCTAAACCCTGATCTACACTACGAGTTTAGGTCAAATTTAGCAGTGTTAGATCAATTTAACCCTGGACCTGTCCTCACGCCGAAGCCATTTTTATCGACTTAAAGGGCTCTTAAAATCGATTTCTGTACTCCTCCCCGACGAGGGGATTAGCGCTAAAATCAACATTGCCGGGTCGAATTTGGGGAAGTGTGGGCGCAATTCGACGGTATTGGCCTCCCGGAGCTATCCCAGAGTGCTCCATTCTGGCCGCTCTGGACAGCACTCTCAACTCAGATGCACTGGCCAGGTAGACAGGAAAAAGCTCCGGGAACTTTTGAATTTCATTTCTGTTTGGCCAGCATGGCGAGCTGATCAGCACGGGTGACCATGCAGAGCTCATCAGCACAGCTGACCATGCAGTCCCAGAATTGCAAAAGAGCTCCAGCATGGACCGAACGGGAGGTACTGGATCTGATCGCTGTTTGGGGAGATGAATCTGTTCCAAAAGACGAAATGTCAAAATATTTGAAAAAATCTCTAAGAGCATGATGGACAGAGGCTACAACAGCAGCAGTGCCGCGTGAAAATTAAGGAGCTCAGGCAAGCCTACCAAAAAGCCAAAGAGGCAAACGGACGCTCTGGGTCAGAGCCCCAGACGCGCAGCTTCTACGATGAGCTGCATGCAATTCTAGGGGGAGGGGGCCACCACTACCCCTCCCCTTTCCGTGGACACCTGCAAGGGGGGAGTCTCACGCAACAGGGATGAGGATTTTGGGGATGAGGAAGATGAGGAGCTGGAGGAGGAGGAGGAGGATAGCGCACAGCATGCAAGCGGAGAAACCATTCTCCCTGACAGCCAGGAACTGTTTATCACCCTGGAGCCAATACCCTCCCAGTCCTCCCAAGGCGGCTCACTGACCATGAAGCCAGAGAAGGTACCTTTGGTGATGAGTGTACCTTTGTAAATATAATGCATGGTTTAAAAGCAAGCGTGTTTAATTATTAATTTGCCCGAAGACTTGAGATGCATTCGGGGCCAGTACAGCCCCTCCTTTTAAATGGCCAACCCAACAGGTGCTTGGTATGGGAAAGCTGGGTGCTGCTGTTTGAAACCATTCCCACATGTTATGAAGATTGAAGAAGCCGAAAGACTGTGGCTTACCATAGCTGCCTGCAAGCCGAATTCTGTTGCCCGGCCATTCGTGTGCGATCTCTCACACCAAACCGGAAGGCCCTCAATATAAGAGGCAAATGTGACCTTGTACCGAAAGCACATGTGCTATGTAATGTTAACAGCTTGGTTCACCGTGAAAGAGTCTACCCATTGTTCTCTAAAATGTGTCTTCTTAAATACTACTCTCCCTTTTTTTCCTCCTGCAGCTGCAAATGTTTCAACACTCTCCCTATCATCTCCATCCCAAAGGCTAGCACAGATAAGAAGGCGAAAAAAATGCACTCGCGATGAAATGTTCTCTTAGCTCATGCAGTCCTCCTGCACTGAAAGAGCTCAGCAGAATGCATGGAGGCAAGCAGTGTCAGAGTCCAGGAAAGCAGAAAATGAATGCAAGGACAGGAGGGATGAGCGAGAGGAGAGGTGGCGGGAGCAAGAGGAGAGGAGACAGGATGCAATGCTGAGGCTACTGGGAGATCAAACTGATATGCTCCGGCGTCTGGTGGAGCTGCAGGAAATGCAGCAGGAGCACAGACCGCTGCTGCAGCCCCTGTGTAACTGCCTGCCCTTCTCCCCAAGTTCCATAGCCTCCTCACCCAGACGCCTAAGAATGCGGGGGGACCCCCTCTGGGCACCCAACCACTCCACCCCACAGGACTGCCCAAGCAACAGCAGCCTGGCATTCAATAAGTTTTGAAGTGCAGTGTGGCCTTGTCCTTCCCTCCTACCCTCATCCACCACCCCAACCGGTGCTTCCCTCCTCACCCACCCCTCCCGGGCTACCTTGGCAGTTATCCCCCTATTTGTGTGATGAATTAATAAAGAATGCATGATTTTGAAACAATAATGACTTTATTGCCTCTGCAAGTGGTGATTGAAGGGGGGAGGGCAGTTGGCTTACAGGGAAGTAGAGTGAACCAAGGGGGTGGGTTTTCATCAAGGAGAAACAAACAGAACTGTCACACCGTAACCTGGCCAGTCATGAAACTGGTTTTAAAAGCTTCTCTGATGTGCAGCGTGCCCTGCTGCGCTCTTCTAATCGCCCTGGTGTCTGGCTGTGCGTAATCAGCGGCCAGGCGATTTGCCTCAACCTTCCACCCTGCCATAAACGTCTTCCCCCTTACTCTCACAGATATTGTGGAGCAAGCAGCAATAACAGTTGGAATATTGGTTTTGCTGAGGTCTAACCGAGTCAGTAAACTGCTCCACTGCGCTTTTAAACATCCAAATGCACATTCTACCACCATTCTGCACTTGCTCAGCATATAGTTGAACAGCTCCTTAATACTGTCCAGGGTGCCTGTGTATGGCTTCATGAGCCCTGGCATTAAGGGGTAGGCTGGGTCCCCAAGGATAACTATAGGCATTTCAATGTCCCCAATGGTTATTTTCTGGTCTGGGAAGTAAGTCCCTTCCTGCAGCTGTTCAAACAGACCAGAGTTCCTGAAGATGCGAGTGTCATGTACCTTTCCCGGCCATCCCATGTTGATGTCGGTGAAATGTCCCTTGTGATCCACCAGTGCTTGCAGCACCATTGGAAAAGTACCCCTTGTGGTTTATGTACTGGCTGCCAAAGTGGTCCGGTCCCAAGATAGGGATATGCGTTCCGTCTATCGCCCCACCACAGTTAGGGAATCCCATTGCAGCAAAGCCATCCACTATGAGCTGCACATTTCCCAGAGTCACTACCCTTCATAGCAGCAGCTCAGTGATTGCGTTGGCTACTTGGATCACAGCAGCCCCCACAGTAGATTTACCCACTCCAAATTGATTACTGACTGACTAGTAGCTGTCTGGTGTTGCAAGCTTCCAGAGGGCTATCGCCACTCGCTTGTGAACTGTGAGGGCTGCTCTCATCTTGGTATTCTTGCACTTCAGGGCAGGGGAAAGCAAGTCACAAAGTTCCATGAAAGTGCCCTTACGCATGCAAAAGTTTCGCAGCCACTGGGAATCATCCCAGACCTGCAACACTATGTGGTCTCACCAGTCTGTGCTTGTTTCCGGGCCCAGAATTGGCGTTCCACAGCATGAACCTGCCCCATCACGCTGTCGTCGCCTCCTTGCCTGCTTTTGCAGGTTCTGGTTCTGCACATACTGCAGGATAATGCATGAGGTGTTTACAATACTCACAACAGCAGCGGTGAGCTGAGCAGGCTCCATGCTTGCCGTGGTATGGTGTCTGAAGGAGAGCAGGAAAGCAGAGTTGCAGCGGAATCGGTGGATGATGACGGATGCCTGTTTTTAATGCCAAAGCTGACTTCAGATTTGGAAAGTGTTGTCGGATATTTGATATGGGTGAACAGAATTGCGGGGATAGCATAATGTGTTCAGTTAACATAACTTCCCAACACATGGTGTGTGTGTGTGTGTGTGTGTATATATTATATTAATACTGTACACATAATACCCATTAATGTGGTGTATACTATGCCTAACATATGTATTGGCTAATAGCTTCAAACAGCCTCTGGTTAGGCTCTGTCCCCAGCCAGCCTTTCCTTCACAGGGCTAGCTCAAGAGGTCTAATCCTCTCTGTCAGCCACTACTGAGCCAAGCTTTTCCTCTTTTATCTCCTCCTTCCAGGTGTGACATCTTGCAAGGGTGTAACTGGGTGGGGCTGATTGGGCCCACAGGCTCTCATTAACCCCTTCTTGGTCATTGTAGGAGCTGTCTCTCTCTTCTGCTGACTCTCCAAATGCCAGTGTGGCTGGAGCAGGTTATGTTAGGCCATCCCAAGACTAAGACTGTTCTGTGCAGAAATGGCTTTTCATGCAAACACCGTGTCACAAATAATACAACACAAAATATGCCTCTTGAAAACTCACAAAAATATTGCACCATAAATAAATGTCTTAATCTAGGCACGCTTAATCTTAAACAAAAGGCAGACTCAGTACACTTCCTGGGAGACCTAATCAGCCTAACCCAGTTACCACGTCACCTAGCTAGTCCCCAGTCTCATTCTAGCCATTGTCAAGTAAAAACTGCCTCTGTCTCCAGCCTGTAGAACAAAACACACACACAAAAAACCCCACTCAAAACCTGCCCGGGAAAAAGCTTCCCACTGAGCTCCCATCATTAGAGACCGTCATCTGTGAGCTATCTGGGGCTCTTAAATCCTCCTATTACTCCACCCCAATTAGGCCTAAAAAGATCTCCTGTACAAATGCCCCTTAGTTCCTTTGGCTCATAGGTGGCTACTCAATCACAGCCACATCAAAGACCTAGCGTGTCAAAAACTAAACTCTCAAATCCTCTTCCACTGTTGACAACTCCACTATCCTCAGTTTACCACTGGGTCCCAATTGTTGTAATATTTAAATTGTACACCACCTCCCTCTCTCTTACGTGAGTCCTGTCACTAAATCCTGCCTTGATTTATTTTCCAAAACGTTCATTTCCTGTCTACTTCCATTGTGACAACATTTTTGCAGGGTTTGATTGTTGCAAGCCTTTCTCTCTGGCCTCCCGTAAACATGTCTTCCTCTGAGAAGTTTGTCCAAATAAGTGCCACCAAAAATATTCCTTGCAAAATGCTTCCATCGTTGTCAATCTCTCATTATTGTCACTGGCTTTCTGTTGCCTCCCTTAATCAAACTAATCTTTGTTCTTGATTTCAAAACTCTCCACAACATACCTCTCTGCTCTTGTCAGGGCCAGCTCCAGCTTTTCTGCTGCCCCAACCGGCAAAAAAAAAAAAAAGTGGCGGCACTTTGGCGGCAGCTCAATTGTGCCACTTCTTCTACCGCAGTTCGGCGGCGGGTCCTCCCTCTCTTCCTCTTCGGCGGCAATTCAGCAGCAGCTCAAAGAGGTAATGAGGGACCCGCCACCGAAGACCCGGACGTGCCGCCCCGATACCAGACGGAGTGCCACCTCTTTGAATTGGCCGCCCCAAGCACCTGCTTCCTATGCTGGTGCCTGGAGCCGGCCCTGGCTCTTGTATCCTTTTGTTCCACTCAGTCCTCCTTTAGCCCATACTAGTGCTCTCTCTGTCAACCTCCTCCTTTTGCTGTTGTGTACAATGTTGCCAGCTCTCACAATATTTGGTTATTTTATGTAGGCCTCAGCTCTTGGAGCCATGTGATTGTGAGGATCTCAGAGTTTTCTAAGTTTCTACCTTTAAAATATGAATGCTACAGGTTCAAAATCCACAAGGCAAATAAAAAAAACCCAAACGCTATTCTTTAAAATCTTCTGATTTTGGGGGGCTTGACTCATGTTGTTTGAACCCTTGAGGTTGTCAATTCAGTTTTTCATGTAAATCCCTATACCTGGAACTCCCTCTCTGACTCCTATCTGCCACACCTCCAACCTCTCCTTCTTGAGGTCTTTTCTGTACTACTACTTCTGGTAGCCAGGAAGACTATAGTCTATCTTTTTTTTTTTTTTTTTAAAGTGGTGTGTGACCCTCATGATAAACACTACTTCCCAAGTGACTGCAGAATCTTCACTCTGACCTGCACCAACCCACCCCGTACTATTGTCTTCACACATCATTCTGTTCCTAATTTGTGTGAACTCTTTTGGGGCAAGGCTCTGATATATGGTAAACTGCCGTCCATATCTGTGGCACAGCATAAATAGAAAATAAAACCAATTTGATGGCAAGAAGTGCGTAGTGGACATACTGTACTCATGAGATATGGCACAGTAAATATTGCATGCTAAACTTGGGTACTGGTTCCATTTTTCAGATTAACGGTAAATGGAATTTTTTTCTCTTTCTATTTAACAGAAATTGCCCAAGTTATTGCCTCTTACACAGCAACAGGACCTGAACAACTTACCCTGGCTCCTGGTCAATTGATACTCATCAGAAAGAAGAATCCAGGTGGATGGTGGGAGGGAGAGCTCCAAGTTAGTTACTACTACTACTTTTATAAAGTTCCACATCCATATTTTGTTTTATTTTTCAAAGGATGGACACATCACTACCTCTGGGAAAAAATTAGTATGCAGCCAAAATATTTGAAACATACACATTTACATTAGTTCTTTAAAATAAAATATAAAATTATCTAAGGTAATAGCAAGGCATTTTGCCATGCTGTGGGTAATAGAAAGATACAAACAAAGGACAAATTTTGGGCTAATCAAATCTATTTCTTCAACCAGTCTTGCTAAATTTCTTTTGGTCTAAACTGACTATTTAAACTGGTATTTTTTCCGTTGGAAATATTAGGGTCTTAGAGTGATAGTCAATTTCTTCACTATCTGTCCTTTCTTCACCGTTAATCTGCTCAATAAATTAATCAGTGGACAGCAGTCATGTAAGGGTATGGTTGCCTAATGTTTAACACAGATGTAGTTTTATCCACCATGTGTAACAAAATTGAGTGTGATTAGGACAAATAAAAAAAATTGCTTTTGATTTTAATTTAAAAGAAAACTCAAGTGATCCATTATACTACCTAAGCTAACTGACTCAATTTTTCCCAAATGAGAGCATATCTTGTGTGTGTATATAAAAAGGAATGTTTAAAACTGGTTTTGGAAGTACTGGCCGCTGTTTCAAGTTCTTCATTCAATGGGACTGTTTTGTCACAATGGAGGCTACCGCTTTTACGAGCCTTCTCTGCAAGGCCCAGTTTAATGAAAAAAAGAAAAAAATGATTAACTTTTGCCACTAAAAAGCACAGGATGTCAGAAAGTTTTAAAGTTATACGATGCTTTAAAAATGGTTAATGTTGTTAATACTATTAAAATAACCAACAAGTGTTTTTTGTTTTGATTCTTAATGTTTAGAACTTGCTTCAGGTCAGTTCTGAAACTTTGACTTCGGTGCTTTTTAACAAAAAACCTAATGTTTTTTTTCAGTCCTGCTTTGTGTCATCAAACTGATTTTTGTGTGTATGTGGTGACAATATTATCCAAAAGAGAAAAATTATATAATTTTTTGTAATGCACGTTTGAGTTTATCCAGACCTTAAATATTCACTACCATCTCCTCCCTTCCATATTTCTTTACTGGTGGTTCTTCCCTCTCCCTCTGGGAGCTCCTCTCACAGGTTAATTTCAGCAGCTTGCTACACCACTCTTAATTTATAACGTAAGACGCTCAAACAAGTTTTATTGTTGCCAATAAAAAAATATTTTAAAAGTAGAAAAGTTAAAACAGGATGCCTTCAGCAAGACTAACCACAATCAGCAAGTAACAGGCAGCGTAAATGTTGAAACAAACATTGGACTTTTATTATGTGAATATCCATCTTTACCTTGAGTTCCCATAGTACCTAATTGTATGACAGGTTTAACATTTAGGGTTTTTTTAATGTTTAGTTAAATGGCTTAAATCAGGATTAAAACAGATTAACTTTTGTATTTAATTTTAAAAGCTTTAGGAACTGCTTGAATACATGCTGCCAAACTCCATGCCTGCCAGGGACTATATTAATGTCCTTCTCCACTCTTCTCATAAAATCGAGCCTGTAGTTGAGTGAGAAGTCAGATTCACAAATTACAGAACACTTTGTATGTAACCCCACCACCGCTGCAGGACATCTAACACAGCTTTTAATACTGCAACAATTCTTGCTGTAACTTGACAACGTCAGAGACACCAGCAACCTAATAGTATTTTATCTGAAAACGTTTTGCCTATTGTTGCTACAAGTACGGCTGAAGAGTACTGTAGTGGAATGAAATTGAGGGAGGGGAGGAAATCTATTTTTTTCCGTAGCATGTTTAGTTTGCTCCTTTGACAGCATTTTATAGTCTGTTTCCTGTGCTGGTTGCTTGGCTCTTTCATGCGGCATCTGGGAAAAGAGAAGCATTAAAAAACAAAAGTATGGCTGTAAAACGTGAGTGGCAGGAGGACTCAGGAGATGGTGTAGTATCGAACTACTTTTAATTCAATTTTTAAAAACATGGCTACGTTTCAAGTTGACACTTGTTCTTTTAAACTGTGGAAGAACCTATTTATTGTTTGATTTTTGGCTTGAAATAATGTTTGCTCATAATTGTCCATCAAAAAGAAATAGAACCTCCATTGTATCTCAGTCTGAAGGAGCTGGATTAAATATTAGTCAGAGTGGCAATAAAGATAAAAGTCAAATCAAATGCTGTAGGACTGCTTTTTCCAAACAGAACAGAGATGCATAAATATCTATCAGGCATTATATTCTGTTAGGCTTAAGGAGATCTTCCAGGACTATTTGGCTGTTAATAATCTATGCAGACTTTGAATCAGATCTAAAAAGATTAGGTTAAATTGGTAATCCAAGATGTAATACTGCACAGATGGCTGCTTTCAATAGAACAAAGATATTTTTGTTATGCTTTAAAAGGCAAACTTCAGTATAATATTAGAAATTCTTACATCTTCATCCAACTACAAAAAGTAAATGGCAAAAAACACATATAAATCTTAAAAATAAAGAATTAGCACTAAAATTAGAAGCTGCCAATTTTACAGCTGTTGGTCAGAAAGATTTAAAAACCATTTCCCAGGCTTCTCTTCTGGTTCTTAGCTGGAAAGAAGAAGTTCATTGACAAAATAATCTGAGACTGTTCCTGTGAAACATCTAGCCCAGTTTTGCAGACAGTATCAGATCCGAGTTCCATCTAGTCCAGTGTTTTGTCTCCAATAATGCTCAGTACCAGACATTTCAGTGGAAGGTGTGACAACCCAGCTGTAGGCAGATCTGTCCTCTACATTGTCTCATCCTAGTTTCCCTTAATTAAATTGGTTGAAGCCCTGAAGCATGAACTTTAATGTCCCTTCCAAAATTCGTTCTTAATTATAGCTGGAGATTCTTGATATCTATGTAAATGTCCAGTCCCTTTTTTTAAATCTTGCTAAGCTCTTGTTTGATAAATGTCCAATCTTCAAGTTTAGCTGAACAAAAACTTGGAACACTTCCTATGCCACAGTGTCTGTCATTATCTTTGTAGCAATTGGTAACTGTTTGTGTATCTATTGTAACTTTATAATACTACGGCTATAGTTTGCTGTTCTCCATGTGCGCTGAAGGTAGGACAAGAAATAATGGAGTTAATCTGCAGCAAGGGAGCGTTAGGTTAGATATGAGTAAAACCTTTTTAACTATAAGGGTAGTTAAGCTCTGGAACAGGCTTCCAAGGGAGGTTGTGGAATCCCCATCGCTGGAGGTTTTTAAGAACTGGTTGGACAAACAGCTGTCAAGGATAGTCTAGGTACTTGGGTCTTGCTTTAGTGAGGGGGCTGAACTCGATAACTTTTTAAAGTCCCTTCCAATCCTACATTTCTATGATTCTATACTCTAATTTTAGCTTTTTAGAAATACAGTGTGGGAGAAATCAATGTTTGCCAAGTAGAAAAGGACTTACATGAGTATCAGAATGTTTCAGTGCTCTTAAAAAAAAACCAACTGTCTATGTTCTGTAAAATCATTTGGCCTATTTTAAAGTGGTCAGTGTAACTTCAAATATAAATAAAATGTAGACTGAGTTACCCTGGCCTGGTTTGGGGTCTGTTGATGTGCTTAACCCTCTGAAAAGAATTATTTTCTTATTAGGCACGAGGGAAAAAACGACAGATAGGATGGTTCCCTGCTAACTATGTAAAACTTTTAAGTCCTGGTACCAGTAAAACTACACCAACCGAGCCACCTAAATCAACAGTATTACCGTCTGGTAAGTAATACAGTAATGTTCTCAAAATATTTGTTGTTCTGTGTCACTTGTGTAGTTTAGAACTGGACATTTCTAGTGAACTAACTGCTATACTAGTGACTTGGGTTTCAAAGGTCCTTTCTAAAATATTTCATTTTTCTTATGAATTTCTATACAATAAGTTTCTTTATTTCATCTATAGAGTATTTTCTCATATCTAGCTTTGATCATATGACTTTAGGGAAAGAAGACCAGTCGAGTTAACATGCAATATATCTGTCATACATATTTGCTTATTTTAATGCTAATGAAAGGATACAGGACTGGTGCCCCTAGAGACTGAAATATACTATCCACTAAAGATCCAGCACAGGCAGTAACAAACCGTCCTACTAATGTATGCCAACTGTGGCAGGACCAGGTTTAAGGGTGAGAAGATAGCTCATTCTGTGTCCTTAATATCCCTGCTGAGTTTGCCAGTTTGGGTGGTACCTTGTGGTAAGGACACTTACCCATGAGGATCTGAAGTGAGACAATCAGTTTGTTCCACATAAGCCATTGAACGATATCCAGATGGTAATGTCTTCCATTAATATTGACCTGGCTGGGACTTACACTCATACACTACTTCCCTGAGCTGTTCTCTAACCATTATCATTCCCTTGAGCCAAAAGGAGTCTATTTCTAATTGACTGTGTATAAAACATTGAACCTACACACTGAAACATCAAGCATGTCGTCTGTCTTGATGTTCCGTCTCCAAATAATTAGGAAAAGTAGTCATAAGTATTTAAATGCTAGGGAACTAGATAAGTCATGAAATTATAATGGAATACTTGAATGACTGAAAGCTGTCATCTGATATGTTCAGCGACCTCTTTGAAAAGTATGAAATAAGTCTCATTTCAGTTTTTGGTGAAAGCAGGTGGCCAGGGCCGGGTCCAGGGTTTTTGCCGCCCCAAGCGGCAAAAAAAAAAAAAAAAAAAAG